GTTACTTTTCCAAAGGCCTACGCTAACGGATGCTCGCAACAGCTGAAGCAGTCACTATACGGCTAGCAAACCCACTACTGTGTAGTCAGAAGACGCTGACACAAACCCTTACACTTCCGTGGCCTACACCGACACCAGGTGGCGATAGCATTTCTCCCCTCTCAACTAGCGACAGTCTCTCAACCAACACGCTGATCTCGCCAACTTGCGCAAACTGACATAGTCCACATTGGCTTATCAGCGCCCATGTTAGACTGTGATTGATTTTTCTTCATATTCAAACTTTAGTTGTTACGTTCAGTTTTGCCTTTCCTCCGCAGATGTTTGGCCTGATGACGAATTGCTGAAAACATGTTTGCCAGAAATTGACTTTTTAAAATCAATCAATAGTTTGAATTTCTAGCTACTTTCACTTACTGAGCGAACAGCCAATCGCACCGGTGTCCAATCTAGAAGAAAATCTGATTGGCTCAAGGGGCATGGTTTACACGCGTTTGTTTCCTAAATACGTTGTACCTCTTAAACTAAAAGACTTTCGTCGTTGCACACTTCTTGTCGTGTTCTTCCTTTGGGGACTCACACAAAGCGTTATTGGCGGTGATATCTCGGCCTGGGCTGCCGTTACAACACACTATAGAAAACAATACGCTCCAGGAGGCAGAATGTGATTATGCGAAACGGAGGAATAGCAAGAGGCATACCACAATGGCTTAATTTGTCAAGGAAAGCCCTTGCCGTTGCGGCCTTCAGATTCGGTTCCCTGTGGGAAGAGGCGATGTAATACTCCAGGTAGGAGGAATAGGGCCTTATGTACGCAAGTAGTGGAGAATAGGTTGGAGGAAGTTGGCAGATGGACGAGTGTGCGCCCGCAGCTGCGAGGGGGCGTGTCCGAAGCGTGTGAGTGCAAAAGTTGTAGTATGTAGTAGTAGTAGTGTATATTGATGTTTTAACCTGCCATATTAACAGCCCAGGTACTAGCTACAAGGCCCAAACACATGTTTCACCGGTATTCTGTCGCTGCTTGATACAGCTGCGAGGGGTCCGGCCCATCAGTGCGGCCTCAGAAGAAGTTTAAGTCTCATTTAACACAAAAACTGCTTCTGCAAATTTCCTTCTTGCAAAAATCCTGCTTTTATCCCATACCTCGGTTTTTGCCATATTTATAATTTTGGCTAGTACGGCGATATGGTAATTTATTCGCACAAAGGAGGCATCTAACTCATGCCGTTCGTATGCAGCAGCGGCTTTTGTGGGTGCCTTTCCTTCTCCCGCCGAGGTAGTAAGCGCTATCGCGGTGCTGTTCTAAAGTGCAGTCGTGTCCCGGCCACTTCCGCTACAACTTTAAAAATGAATTTATACCCACCCCCACCCCTCCCCTCTCCAGTAATATTTGTATTGCAATTTTTTTCCACTCCAAAATGTACAGTGTGACTTAAATACTACTACTCGTGTCCAGCAGATGAGGTCTGTTGCTGGTGGGGAAAAAAATCGTTATTTTTTCGCCGCTTGACTGCAAGCTCCGCGAAAAAAAGATAAATTTGTGTGTGTGTAAATGCTAGCTTTTTTGCAACCTTCTACTAGTTCATTGGAAAGTTCTGCACTTAGGCCTGCTTTGGCGCATTTACGGTGGACCGTGTACTGTACTGTCCGCGATGTCCACTTGACTCCTGCGCACTTTTTTGTTTCGTGGAGAGTGTGGGTAGTATAGCTATCCAATCGCTGGCCACTCGCCTGTCGTCTGCCAGTGCACTTTTATGCTCCATTGTCTGCCCGCAGATGCATACTGTGGCCCTCGGGTCGCGTATGTGCCTGGGTATGGCATGCGTAGACGGGCTGCTGTACTGCTGTTTACCACTACATCCTCATTTACTGCCCCTGTCGTTTTGACATGGTCAAGCCAATGCGATTCAGGGAGGTGAGAGAGAGAGAGTGTGTGTGTGTGTGATAGATCCTGCCCAATTCTGCTTCACCAGTACTTGCTCAAGTTGCTGATGCTTCTCATATTCGGTGAGGCAAGGGTTTATAGAATGAGTAGAAGAAGATTCGATCGCTGGGACAACACTTATTCGCCTGGCGTTTCGAAATCCGTCGCGGATTCTTCATCAGAATCATGGGCAGAAAATTGTACCACAAGCACCGGTTGACGAAGTTGCGTGGGTTGCCATTTTCTCTTAACAACACCCGTCAAAGATATTGTACTTCGGTAACTTTGTCTTCTGGTTCACTGCAGTGCGTCTCAACATGCCGATAAATCGGCCTTACACAACTGTGTTTCTGGCTGATTACTGTTGAAGTTCAGTACTTGCAGCGTGTTTGTCGCTGTCCAGAATAATTTGGTCTTTGGGCTACCAAAATCTTCGCTTATTTTTCTCTTCCTCCTCCATCGTAAATTGTATGTCCGGAAAGATGCTTTTGAGGTGTTCCTTGAAAGTTAGCATCTGATCCCGTTCGATGACGACGAAGGTATCGTCCACATACCGCGCCCAGAATTTCGGTCACTGGTGTTGGAAGAACAAGGACGCTAACCATTGTAAGACCGCCTCCGCTATGCATCCAGAAGCCCATGAACCCATTGGTGTTAACTTCACCTACTAGTAGATTGTTCCGTCAAAAATGGAGTACGTTCTGAGACAGAACTTCGGGAGCTGTAGGATTTGGGCATGTCCGAGGCCAGGCCGTTCTCCCTCTCATTACCCGTTTCTGCTGGTTAAATGTTGAGGTCCGAATGTCCACTTGACTGCTGCGCGCACATTTCAAATGGAGAGCGCGAGCATCCAGGCTATCTGAGAGTTGGCTCCTGTCTGTAGCCAATGTATTGCGCGATGCATATATCGCAGCGGGTTACTTTGATAGGGAAAACCCTTGCCGCTGCTATCTTTAGGCCCGGTTCCGTAGGGGTGGAGAGAATTGCAACGCCAGACGAGAGGAATAGTGTATTAGGTACAGAGGTAGTGAAGAATATGTAGAAGGAAGTTGACTATCGGACGAGTATGCGTCTGCACCCGAGAGGGGCCGCGTTTGAAGTGTGTGTATGTGGCATTCGTGACTGAGTCAGCGTCGGG